TTCTTCAAGATATGGACTCATGACTGAAGAATCGAACAATGTGGAATTGACCCATGACTTGGATACCATTGACGAGATCCGTGAACGAGCCAAGATTCGCTTGCAAACGTATCAACAGATGGTTGCAAAAAGTCATAACAAAAATGTCCGAGCGAAGGTGTTCAAGAAGGGAGATTGGGTCTTAAGGAGAGCATTTGGCAACGAAGCGGCTGGTAAGTTTAGTCCTAATTGGGAAGGGCCCTACAAAATCATTGACATCGTTGGTCAGGGGGCATACCGTTTGGAATCAGTCGATGGTAAACGAATCCCTCGAAGTTGGAATGCGGTACACTTAAAACTTTTCCATTTTTAATTCATTTTTCGCACATTTGTTCTTATAACAAAATGAAGTTACTAACTTGACCGTCGGAGGGCCGTTGGCTTAAGGCCAACGACCAACCCTAATAATGACTTTGATACAGGAAGGCACACGAAATTGGCAAAGTCACAGGTAATTAGTTACGTTTCACGTCATTTTTGATATAGTAAATACAATTCATCGTTTACTAACTTGACCGTCGGAGGGCCGTTGGCCTCAAGCCAACGGCCGACCCCAACGGTGCAGTATTATCGCAGGACTATGACGGGTAAAGGTCTAAACACAAGACGACGCAAACGCCAGAACAACAGGTAAAACATCCGAACTTGCTCATGACGAAACGTCAGTGTTTAGGGGACATGGAGCTCATCATGAAAAAACCATGAATAAAGGTCCATAAAACCGAATACGTTTTGGCCAAAATACAAACATATATATGACTCAACATACACATGGCATGTTGCATATATAAGCGACAAACACACACACACGACAGAACATGCATTAGCGAAAACAGGATTCAAGCAATAGCAAAAGTAGCGACAGAGTCACAAAACAACATGGACATGGCTTGGATAAACCACCAAGCACGAGATCCATGGTTGCACAACGAAGCGTTAAAATCCCTGATAAACCACCAGGAAACCATAGCGCAAGGAGAGTAATGTTAGAGTAAGTTTCAAAAAGCAAAGAATGTTTGGAGCCAAGCAAATAAAGAAGGAAAAACATGTTTAATTATCATGGGAACGTTTGGATTCAGCTTCATCCTCAGATTGGCCCACGTCAAAACCATCCTCTCCAATTGGGGGGTCCATTTCTTCCTGAAGCTTCAGCCAGATAGCAACATCTTGTTCCGCTGTCCAGTTTGACATCTCACCTGCGAGGAATGAAGCCATCAGTTCGCCCCTAGTCTTCCAAGCGTAAAAACAAGCTGCGTCAGTAACTTCTTGTTTCTTTTTCCTCCCATAGGCCTCCAAAAGCTTGATTCGTGCTTTTAGGGTCTAAATTTGATTCACCAAGGTTGAGTTGTCACCACGAAGATTTTGAATCGTTCGAGCGTCAACATCAACGCGAATTTGAAAACCTTTCTCTTTCCCTTTTAATTCGTCCACAGCTTTTTCCAGTAAAACTAACCTTCCTACAGCAACAAGACTAGCTTGAACACTCTGCCAATATTGAAAAATTCTCATTAGAAGGAAATTTAAATTTTTAGACAGATATTGAACATCTACATAGTGATAAAATACCTTGAAAGCATAGGCCGACGGAGCCAACGCTAGACCAGCCGAAGAGATATCAGCAAACGTAGCAGACGAGGAGGGAAGCAGAATCTGAGGCATTTCACTTTTCATCATAAAAGCGTCCTTCAAACAGCAGAAGTCACGAGAAAAGGAGGCATTCATCTTCACACCAGAGTCAGAATTAGCAGCAGCGTTCACCGGAAGAGAAGGAACATTTTTCATTTCAACAGTCGGGCAATGCGGAGTTTTGGGAGATCCAGAGGCCAGCTTGGAAGGAACTTTTTTCTTTCTCGAAACCATGTTAAGGAGTTCATAATCAGAAGGCATCAGCCGCGTACTCGATGAAGAAGCAGCTATGGTTAAAAAAAATTGTTAAAATTCTAGGCAGAGCAGTATTTGACAAATAATTGAGGTAACAGAAACAAGTACCAGCATGTTGGGCAGAACGTTTCGTTAGGAGAGGGCAAGAGTCTTGAATAACGGGGAACACCATCTGGAGAGGAACGAAAGCACTTGCATTTTCACCGCCACCTCTTGAACCTTCTGATTCATGATCTGAATCGTCTACGGAGACCGCACGCGAGCCTTGAGCATCGTTAGGGACATTCTGAATATTACGGCGAGAACGCCTTAATCCAACGGACCCAGAAGGGTCAGGAATGGGGGACGTACCTTCGTTATCAGCCACAAGATTCCCAAAGGTCAGCTCAACGGTGGTTATGGACAAAATTCTAGAAGTTTTTTCTTCAGAATTCGGACCAAAGTTCAATGGGATTGTCTTCCTATCTACAAGAATAGACGATGGAAACAGTAATGCATCTCGACATATTACGGTCCAGTCATGTGGCAACTAAATACATTAGAAATTTATACACAAAACAAGGAAGTATCAAGGTACCTTTGTGCAGACTCTCTTCAAGAAACGCCCCATCAGAACCTAGGGAATCTTTCCGTACAAAGAAGAAAAGACTCATCCAACCACGATCATTGGCCTTATCCGCCCTCAAGATAAGTGCTTCGCGAGCGTCTTTAACATCCAATGTGAACCGTCCAGCCCCGGAAGAGCGAAGATCGTAAGTAAAGCCCAGATCTTCAAAGGTGAAAGGGATACTGTGTTTTTCACTTAATACTTCTAGTCCACGAAGAACCCTCCATACTTGTGGCATTATTTGAGAAGGAGAAACTTTGACAAAGGCCAAGAAGTCTCTAGCTAGAGAAGAGAAAGGAAATTTCATACCGATTTTGAAGGGGTACATGAAGAAATTGACCCAGCCATCGCAATACCAGTCAACCCGTTCGTTAGCGGCCGGGAACCGGATGGACACATGTGCAGGAAATCCGGAGCCGTTCTTGATAATATCGATATGAATTTCAGAGAGTTTGGCTTGCTTAGAGTTTTTTGGGTCCAAGATATGTTGAGGGATGAACAACTGGGATTCCATGGCTTCTCACAAAGAGCTTCGGTAAGAGGTAGACGGAAGTTTGAATCTTCTTCTTAGAAGAGAGATTCTGAAGGAGAAAGGATTAGTCTGACACAAGGTTGGCTGCTCGATAAGAGAAAAGGCTGACGACTTTACAAGTTTTGAGGTGGCGTCAGGATGTTTAAAATTCAAAGAAGTAACCGACCTTTTGAATCAAGGTAGCGACAATTACTACTTCGAATTTTGGGGGCAATTGTTGGGCCTGGATTTATCAGCGGACCGGCCCACGTTGCTGTAGGGATTTTGTTAACATCAAAGGACGGCCAGTCCATATTAGAGAGTCCAGTTCAATTAGTCATGTGACGGAACAGATAAGAATGCTGATAGCTGGTGGAGGAAGTTAAGGAACGAACTCCACATTAGTAGGCTGGATGAGATTTCGCCAAGAAATCCGGAGCCCACGTTAGGTAGTAGAGTTGGAAAAAATATAAATAGCTTAAGGAAGAAAGAAAAGGCATGATCAATTCTGATCAAACAACCTACTATTATTTCTTGTACTCACAATTAAACATTGAATATCAATATAAATTTGTATCTATTTGTTCTTCAAGAGGTTACTTGCACGATTCCCTTTCCATATAATTTGATTGTTAATTCTTGCTTAAACAGGGGTAGGAATATAATGGAGCAAAAAAAATCTAATTTAAGTAAGAGTATATAATGAATATAAATAGAGAGATTTACCTAAATAGGACTAAAACTAGGTAGAATTTCAAAAACAGGACTGCTGTGTTTTATTTGACAAAAATAGGACTAAAAAGAAGTAATCTACCAAAACTACCCTTAATTAAAGCCTAATGCTCTGTCGAGCAACTATTGCGATGCACACTAGCGATGCACAACGGACTCCATCGTTGTTGGTGCTTCTAGCGGTGCTGCCACAGAACATCGCCACCGTCCAATCAGACCACAACCTCCGTCTGCCACCCTCCGGCGAGACACCAACCACCATCAACCATTATTGCAGGACCTCCTCCTGCACCAAAATCACAAGTTTTGAAAACATATGACATGTTAAAATTATGATGACATTTTTGTATAAAAACATGTCAGTTGCATATGGAAAAACATGTAATTTTCAAGCTATCCTTAAATGTTATATAAAAAATACACATGTCATTTTAAAAAAAATGACATCTTATGTACTGTTAGTTAAAATAATGTTGACATTTTGGAATAGAAAGATGACATTTAAAGTTAGTAAAACATGTCATTTTCGAGTAAAGATAACATTCAGATGCAAAGAATGACAAGCAGGTCAAAACTGACATCGTAAGAAATGCAATTCCATAAAAGTGGCAATATTTTTAAATGATGGCATTTTCAAATTAAAATTTCTAAAATAATCTGAAATTCAAAAGAAGCACAAAACAAAGAAGAAAACAGAGGGGATGAAGAAGAAGAAGGAGAAGGAGAAGGAGAAGGAGAAGGAGAAGGAGAAGGAGAAGGAGAAAAAAGAAGAAGAAGAAGAAGAAGAAGAGGAATATCTGATTTTGCCGGAGAAATCGTTGAAGAGGTGGTTGCCGGCGTCGAGCAGGTAGCTGCGATGATAGCTGGTCGAGTTGCGATCGATGGCTGTGAATTGCGTCCATGGCTGTTGAGTCATTTAGGCAATCGCAGGGAGAAGTTGTAATCCCAGGTCTCACGATCGATGCAGAGAGATTGGGGAGAAGGTGATTTAGGGATTAAGAGTAAAAATGTAATCTGGAATCCCATTTAGACAAATTAAAACTTGAAGTCCTATTTTGAAGTTTTCACCATGTTTTAGTCCCATTTAATATAATTTCTTATATAAATAAGATGTGGTGTGGTATAAATGTGGGTCATAATTAGTCACTCGTCTGGGGCATGATAGCCAACTATCAATCACTATGGACGACCCTTTAGCCAACTCACTCCCAACTCCCCCAAGCGGCGTACCTTCTTCCCCTGTCATTCTCAATCTTTCACTTTTAGCTTTCATCTCTCTTAGCTCCATTTTTAGCACGGATCAAAGGTAAAGTAAGTTGAGGAGCCAGCCATGGCAGCTCCTGTTCCCATTTCCCATTTTGCCCCGCTCATCCTACTCTCTTTCATCTTCCTTTCCACCTGCCACCTCCCCATTCTTGCCACCAACATCACCAGCCTCATCTCCGCCTACTCCAATCTCACCGACTTCACCCACCAGCTCGACGCCACCAGCATCGCCGCCGATCTCTCCAAGCGGTCCTCCCTCACCATCCTCGCCGTCCCCAACGACTTCCTCCACGTCTCCTCTGCCTCCAATATCAGCGACGCCCTTCGCTACCATGTCCTCCTCGAATACATCTCCTGGGATGCTCTCAGGACCATACCGCCGGAGGGTAAAGTCGTCGCCACTCTGTTTCAGACCACCGGCCGTGCCCCCGGAATCTTAGGGGCAGTCAATATCACATGGGATCCGGTAACCAATAAGAGTACCGTCCATTTAGAAAGCTCCAACGCCATTATTCTTGACAAAATCGCGGATGTTCCGTTTAACATCTCAATCTTATCCGTGAGCTCTCTTCTCGTACCTTCCGGAATAGATCTCATGGCATCGGAGACCCGGCCGTCTCCCGGGATCAGCATCACCAAGGCCCTCATCGACGGCCACGGATTCAACGTCGCCGCCTCGATGCTCACGGCTTCCGGCGTAGAAGAGGAATTCGAGAGAGACGAGAGCGGCGCCGGCCTCACGCTCTTCATCCCAACAGACGAGGCATTCGCGGATCTGCCGAATTCGGTGGGATTCCAATCGCTGCCGGCCGATCAAAAGGCGTCCGTCCTCAGATTCCACGTCCTCCACTCCTACTACCCGCTGGGTTCGCTGGAGAAGGTCGTGAACCCGATTCAGCCTACTCTGGAGACTGAAAAGAACTGGGCAGGGAGTTTCACCCTAAACATTTCCAAAATCAACGGATCGTTGACGATCGGCACCGGAAACGTGGTGGCGTCGGTGACTCAGACGGTGTTTGACCAAAACCCGGTGGCTATTTTCGGAATTTCGCAAGTACTGTTACCCGTAGAGATCTTCGGGAAGAACAGGCTCGTAGTGAATACATCTGGTGGTGGGGGTGTGCCAGATCGGCCGCCTGTCAGTTCTCTCTCGCCGGTAAATTCCCCGTCCGGGAATTTCTCCTCTTCGCCGCCAGGGTCTCTCCAAGACGTCGCATCCTCGGCGACCAATGGCGGCATCGCAAGAAAATTCTGGATTGTGTGGTGGTGTATAGGGTTTCATCTACTGGTAATCAGTAATTATTACTGTATTATTATTAATTACAGTTTATAATTTTTTATTTTTTATTCTTGAATTGTTTTGAAATGGAGAATGGAGATGAAAGAAAAATGATCATTTTAAAGCGGTAATACTTGGAAGATATATGCTTTTTCTGAGAAGATAGATTTTGGAGTGTTATTTTAGTATTGGATTTCCATTGCTATTGTTGGTATCCTATCTTGTACAGATTGATATTTTATCATGAAACTCTATTCAAATGGAGTAAAAATATGAATAATTACAAGAGTTCGTGAGAAGTGTTGGTCTGATACTCTGATCTGATGTACAGTAAATAAATGCTTCTAAAAATCTTTTGGGTCTCTCTCAGTACACAGTTGAGCAAAATTCTGCAGATTTTAAGGGGTTGGACAATGGATATCAGAGCATTTACATATCCAACTTCAACCAGACAATTCATCTATTCCAAATGAATTGCGTAAATGTATGAAAAAGAACTAAAAAGAGTGAATCGCTGCCACATTTCTTGCAAAAATAAGAATTAAGAAACATCACATTCATTTTGGGACAATGAAGATGGAGTGTATGTGTTTTAGGTAAATGATGATATGAGTACTCTACGTCCAAAGGTTGATGCCCAACCCTAAAGCCCCCCACCCGACCCGACAGGATGGTGAGGAGGTTAATCACGGTGACTCAGTCGGCAAAGCGGCAGTAGGCCTTTACCGGTGCGCACTAGAGGGCCAGTCTTATTTCAGGTTCTGAAAATCCCCTTTTGGCCGTTGCGGGATTCGAACCTTGGACTACGTCCAATTTTTCCCACCGTTCGACCAACTGAGCTACCCGTGCGGGTGTGAAGTACTCTAAGTTTTACGAATATATGTAAACCTCGAAGGGACTTCACAAGAAGCAACACATAAAAAGGAGTTAAAACTTGAAAATGAAAAATCAAAATTAACACCCCATTTGAAAAGCATTGAAATTGGCGGAATGAGTTGGAGATAGGGATGGACCGGGCCGGGCCGAACCGGCCTGGAACCGAACTGGCCCGCTACTGTGCTGGTCTGGACCGGACCGAGACCGGTTGGCCGGTTCCGGGCTTTTAGCCCGTTTGGGCGGGTCGGGCGGGCCGGGCTCGGGCCCAGTTTTGGGTGAACCGGGCGGTTCGGGCCGGGCCCGGGTCTTTTTTTTTTTTTCAATTTTTTTCTTTTCCTAGGCTAGGACTGGGTGTTTTGGGGAGGTTTGGGGGTGAGGGGGGGGGGGTCGGGGGATAACAAGAAAGCAAAAAAAAAAAAATAGACATTGAATCGGGCCCGGCCCGGCCCGGTTAGGCCCGGAACCGGTATCAACCCGGGCCGGTTCCGGGCCCATGGATTTGCAAAAAAAGCCCGCCTGGGCCCGGCCCGGAACCGGACCGGCCCGGGTCCATCCCTAGTTGGAGATTGATGAAATTTTGATTTTGTTGATAATGAAAAATTAAGCCCTTATACTAAATTAGCTTAGATCTATTAAATTATGAAAAAATTATATTTAAAATATATTGTGTTAATAAAGTAAAGAAAAGATTAATTTTTATTGTAGTGCCTGAATCTATTGAAATATGAAAAAAATTATAAGAAAAAAGAGTCAAATACACCCTCCTACTATTTTCAATCCATCACTTAAGCCCGTTCTACTTAAAAAAGCATCACATAAGCACGCTTATTTGTAAAATACAATCAATCGAGTCATTTTAACTTGCTATAACACGTCCTTTTTTTAAATTAAATTAGGAATATTGATAAATCTTAGAAAAATTCATATAAATTTGAATAAATAATAATATAATAATATAAAGAACAGTAGTTGAATTTAATCCAACACGAAATAGTAAATATATATTGTATGAACTCTCTGTTTTAATGTGGAAATCCGAAAGGGAGAAAACTACAGGTTTTTTAGGGCTGATGTTCAAGTCAATCTCATTCTCATTAAGCTTTCCTCACCATTTACATTGTACAAGTTTAAGACTTGGAAACCATTAATGGAGCTCTAAGCTTTATAAAAAAAAAGGATTACACCCCATCCCAGAGCCCCCCCCCCCCAACACCGACCGGACGGTACGTTGGGAGGATGTAAATTAGACTATAATCACAATTTGACAGATAGAGAGTGGAGTTTTGTCCCTGATACTTGCAAAAGCCCTATGCATTTTTAGAATAGTAACTTCTCATCGCAGTTGCTGGGATTCGAACTCGGGACCTAACCCTTGTGGCACTCTCTTGGTACCAGTTGAGCTACGCCCACCGGTGGAGCTCCAAGCTTTAGAGAAAGGTGGAGTGTGGGGAGGAGAACTAGCTAGCTAGAGGCATATCAAAACAAGGAGGGAAAACTCCTATTTATAGGAAAAGGGAAAAGGTGGTAAAATCTACCCTAATGGGCCAAAAGGATCATAATGGGCCGACTGGATTGAAACACGCTGCAAGGGCCGAAATGGACCAGACGGGTCGAGAAGGGCCTCATTGATCGGGGCCCGCGTGGGGATAGTGCATTGTGCTTTCGAACATTAACAGACCAGGATAATATATCCCAACAATAGTATAATTTAAAAATAGATAAAAAATTTAAAAATGTTAAAATATTAAAAACAAAAAAAACCAAAAAACTGAAAAAATAAAGTGCAAATACAAAAAGAAAAAATAAAAAATTTATAAACCTTTTAAGTAGATGTAGAATATATAAAAAATTTAAAAATTCAAAAATATTGCCTTTAATAATCCAAAAGTTTTTACAATTTGTGTATATATTTCTACAAATTTTTATAATTTTTAGAGTTTCTAAATATTAAAAACTTGCTATTACAGGTATAAAATGGATTAAATGGTCAAATTGAGTAATATTGCATTTTGCACCTTATTTTGGAAAAACTTTGACTTTTCACCCCATCATATAATATTTTTCTGAAGAAAATTTTCTGAATGTGATGCAAAGTCAAAGGAATTTTAAGGGAAATGAGGTGTAAAGTCAATTTTTTTTTTTAAAATAAGGTGCGAAGCCTAATATCAACCAAAAAGTAAGTTGCAAAGTCAAATTCCCCATAAACTAAAAATACGAGGTTATTAAACGAGAATATTACCCGAAATAGGACTAAAACAGTTCGAAAATTCCAAAATAGGATTGACATGTTTTTATTCCCAAAATAGGACTAATTAATGTCATGTTTTGGCAGTACCAAACTTCAAACATGACAGTAGTTTCTAAATATGGCAGTGATTAGTCCTATTTTGGGAATAAAAAACATGACAACCCTATTTTGAAATTTCAAACTGTTTTAGTCCTATTTCGGGATCTTTCCCTTATTAAACTCGCTCTAAGATAAATTGAAGAGTATATTGGATATTTTGGTTAGGGTAGAAGCGGGCCAATATGGTCCTAGAGTAGTTGCTTCTCAATCAAGGAGACACTAAGTCGGATATGTGCTTGGCCCAAGTCCCTGGCTTTCAAGGGCTTGTGTTAATATTTTTATTTGCATACTATTTCAATTCATTAAATATATGTATTGCTAATTAACAACTTAAAACTAAATTATTTGTTCGAGATTTCACAATTTTGTATTTGTGGCATTTAGAGACAGTTATTAATAAAAGTTATGTTAATTGTGCGTGAATAGAGCGGAAGGTCGCACCTAGAGCTCTCTAGGGTTGAGTGTAGTTTTCGGCAGTTTATCGCGTGAGGTTTTGACAGCTTATTGGATCGCTAGAGGTACGAAGCAGGCATCGGCGAGGGAGAGAGGAGCACAACTGCGACATTACTTGTAGCGGAGGTCAGTGACGAAACAAGCAGGCGACGCATGAGGAGGGCAATCATCGGCAGTAGCAGTACAATACCATTGGAGGCTCATAGGTGGACGCAGTAATCGGATTCTTGCGCTGGTGAACAATAAATTAAAAGGGATGGGTAAAGGCATGGCGGACAACAATGAAATGGAATTCACCAGGAAAGTGGAAGATCCAGAATCGAAAAAACTCAGGACATGTGGCGATGATCTTATACGGGTGAACCAGATTCAAGGATCGAGTGGAAGGTCTTGCTTGATGTGACATGGAGAATTTCAGATTTAGGTGATAGAGAAAGAAGACGAAGAGATGATGATCCGCCCCCCTCTTGAACCGCTGCCTTGGAGGAACTGTGTGACTAGGATTTGGAAGATTATTTTACTATTCCTAGTTTGTTATTTTCGGTTTAGACTGTTTTACTGTTTCTATTTTGTTACTTCTATGACAAACAATAAGGGGGTATGTTGGTGTTTTGGATTGTTTTAGTTGATAGGTTTCTGTTTGGAGGCAATCAGGCTGATTCGGCCGCTAATAGCCTCTATGCTCTCATTGTATCAATGATTAGTCTCGTTCTTTCTGAGGTGAACTATTCTATGTCTGATAATGATATGAGGGGGCCGACGGGCTTGTGGAATTGATTGGATAGAGTGAGGTCTAGATTCTGAGGTATGGTTGTTGCTACGTTTTGATTGATTCTAATATAAGTTATTTTCTTTCAAAAATGACTTATAACTAAAAGAACCGAGCATGTTGATATAGTGCACCATAAAATTACTAAATTGACTTCAATCACTTTTTAATTTGACGAAGCTTAATGAAGACAACAAAAATTAAAACAAAAAAAGTATTTATCTATTTAATGTTTATAATTACTCATATTTTGACTGGCAAAGATATCCCACCTAGTGGTCTTGAATCCGAACGTTTACATACTAGTTATCTACGGTCCAAACTTTTTTGACGTTTGCGAATCTGGTGCGATACGCTCAGAGGCGGCTTGAGCATTTTGGAGGCCCCAGACGAAAAATATTTACTATGTACAAATCACTTTTAAAATCAGATAAATTGAATAAAAATCGCCTTATGAAAAAAGCATATTCAAAGTCCACGATATAATATTTGTAATATTCAAAAGGATAAATTTTAAAATGCAAACTTATTCAAAACACAAGGCAAACTTGTACTTGTAAAAGTATTAAGAGACTTCAAGAACGAGACTCAGAGAGAAGAGCTGAAGAGTCTTAGTTGATTCACTAACCAAGGACCCATGTCGACGGCGGGCAGTGAGACATATATACAGTAGCCGATTAGCGGTCTGTGTTGGACGTTGATGCATGTTGAGATCGGCTTTTGATAGTTTTTTCATAACTTTAAGGTGTCATAAGTCTCAATTTTAAGCTCAAGTCATATTTACCGGCCGTTGGTTCGAGTTTTGGTATTTTTGGAGTCAAAATCAGGGAATTTGAGCCTGGCACCGGTGTTTGAGAAGCAATAGGGACGAGTTGAGAAGCATTTTAGAGTTGATTAGGAGCATTGGAGATC